GGGTGAGGGGGGAAGGAGCCAGAATAGAGAAGCTGTAGAACTAATGCTGCCAGCACTGTATGCTGAGCATTTCACAAGTGCAAGGAAACCTAATTAGGGAAAAATTCCTTTTGGCTGTATTAAATAATAGAATTCCAAAAGAGGCATACTAAAAGTTAACCATTCCAAGAGTGTTAAATAATCTGCCATTTCAGAGTAGCTGGGGGTTCCTCAATTGGAGAGGGTATCAGATCTCTGAATTGCCTTGTCTTTTTAACATAGTCAATGCAGCGATTAATTTGCTATATGTATATATATCAAACAGTTGAGTAGTCCAGTTTTGCTTGTTTAGCATATTTCCTAAGCCTACATTTTAAAAACAAAATCCGATATATATATATTTTTAAATTTGAAATAGAATTCTTTGTCCAGAGAGTATTCTTTTTTTTCTGGTTTAGTCTTAAAATTTATTCATGATTTAGGGGCTTGTGGTTGGTATTTTTTTTTACCCCTTTTTCTCAGGTTTTTGATTTTTACTTATGCAAGTTCCCTAAGTTTGCCTTTGTTTATATTGTAATTTTCTTGGAATTATTTAAATCAGTGTGGCATCTATTGTGTCCCACGGGGTTTTGAAAGGAAAGTCTCCCATTGAAACAAATTGCAGGGCCATCTCACATAGATGGGTAATAGAAAGAAGGTTGACTGCGAATCAGATGTATTCGGTTGCAAATATGCTGCTTGAGGTTAAGGCAGTTTCAGTTAAAACGGGAACCAGATTTTACATGGTGTTTCTACTTTGAAGGTACAGTATTGTTGCATTACAAACTGAAAGACAGAGGTGGAGAAATTCCTTTAAGTATCACCCCTAGCCTGTTTCACCACTGTGTCCAGAAATGTATGAGAGACTCTTAACAATAGCTGCATTGTTGGAAATTACAGTGGCTTCTCTTGCAGAAAGTCAACCTTTCATTAGGATTTTCATTTCCATTTACTTTATAAAAGAAAATTTAGCTTTATCTGAGAAACTGGCTGTAAGAAATTTGTAAAGAGAGCAAGGAAAATAGGTTTTCTTCAACATGTCTGCTAAAATTTCCCATTCTCTCCCCTTCCGTTTTGATAACTGCTGGTGATCTTCATTTCCTCTACGTATTAGAAGGTATGCTAACACAGTACCTGGTTTTTGGCAGTTAGTGTGGGGATATGACTTTTTCATGTAATAAATTGATGTCAAATAATATGAGGCATTTAGAAATAAATTAATTCACATGCATAGACCTAAAACGTGAGGGAAATCTTTTAGATAACCCTTAACTTTGGTATAAGAATAGCACAATTTGAAGTATTAAGTTGCTTTCTAAGTAGAAAAAGCTATTAACTTAGAATTGGATAATTTTGGATTTTAAAGTGTGTTTTTTTGGCAACTTCAATTTTCTTGGTAAAGAGGAAGATAGAATCTCACAGATTCTTTATTGTCTGATGATGGCATCAGTTGGACTACATTTCAACTTAATAATGCAATTAAAAGACTGCATTTAAACTTTCTGTTTGGAGGTTTCTCTAATTTGCTTTCAATCTCAAGCACAACATTAGAAATCTTTTGTTGGTGATGCACAATTTTAGTGTTCAGATTTTAGGTTTTGATCGTTTTTAGAATTTTTTTTATGTGTGTAGAGCAGTGCATGGATGACTGAATTAATCAAAGATCTGGCCTCATTTCTCATTCAAGTTTGTACATTTCTTCGTACTAAGATGTAAGCTTGGGTGCAATTCTGTCGGTGGGTGTCAAAGCTGAGGGTAAGGACCTTCCACCTAAAGAGACTGATAGCATTTAAACATTTCAGATTTGGGAATTAACAGAAAGTTATTTATTAGGTTAAAAGGACCTACCCCATTCAGGTATTTGAAATTGATTGTCAATGCTTTGAATTAAGCTCTTAAAAACATTTGTGTTTGAGATAATTCTAATCAGGGTCAAGTTTTGGGTGTGGTCTCTCTTTTGGGCAGTCTTCTCTGTAATAATTATAATACTCCATTTATTAAGCCTTACTGAATGCCAGATACTGTGACAGGTAATTGATTTGCATGAATGCATGTGTGTTCTCACAATATCTCTATAGAAGCAGGTCTTCTTACCTCTTGTATACATGTCAGATGGGCTCAGAGAGATAAAGTACTTTGCTCAGATTACCCAGCTAGTCATCAGAAGTAGCAAAATTGCCATCCAAACTGGTCTGACTTGAAGCTGTGCTCTTCAAAACCATGCTTTCTGCTTCTCTTTAGGATATTGATTTTCCAAGCATATTTATTTTTGACACAAGGTCTCACTCTGGCCCAGGCTGGAGTACAGTGGGATGATCACAGCTTGCTCCACCCTCAACCTAGCAGACTCAATCAATCCTCCCATCTCAGCCTCCCTAGTAGCTGGGGCCTACAGGCACGTGCTCCCATACCAGGCCAATTTTTCTTTTAATAGAGGTGGGGTCTCATGATGTTGCTCAGGCTAGTCTTGAACTCCTGGGGTCAAGCGATCCTCCTGCCTTGGCCTCCCAAAGTGCTAGGATTATGGGCAAGAGCCGCTGCCAGGCCCACCCCTAGGGTATTTTGATTTCCTACTGTATATCATGCCTGGGGTCGTACTGAAGGTATACATATGCTTCTCGGAGTTGACAGGCTACATTGGAAAGGCTGCTGGACATTTAATCACACAGGGGGCTTAACTCAGATCGATCAGGACTACTGGAGAGGAGAGTTGGAAGTTCAGACTTTCTAACAGAGGGTCAGACTTTTCTATCAGAGGTTCTGTTTCTTCATAAATGAAGGTTGTACATAATCATTTATGCTCAAAATGAGGTTGCTGTTTCTAATTAGCTACTTGATATTTCATGTTTCTGCATGTTGCATTATAACTTTTGATGGACTTTGATTAAATTTGCTACACTAATAAAGGCTATGAAGATATTCCTTGAATTCAATTTTGTGGCTTAGATATACCCTTGAAGTAAAACGGCAGCCATTATAATTTGCAGATGGGCACCTCTTATGTAATTGAGACCAGTGAAGTAAAATCTGTAGGTAAAGTCTACAGAGATAT